TAGAAAGTAAATAAAAATACTATATCTACAGGAAGAATTTAGGTCATGAGTGAAATTACCCAAAATGGAATCCAGCTTTACTGTCCAAAGTAATGGGATTTTTAACTTAAAACAAAGGTCTTGACTATATGTCTTATCCAAATGGCAGTATATTAAAGCCTGGCACCATGCTAGGGCACTGGTTTAGTGTTAACAAAAAGAAAAGAGTGCACTACCTAATGAATCACATCACTTCCTACAGCATCCAGGATTTCTCTGGGAGGTCTCCAGTCCAAGTACTGCCCAGTTTAACCATGTAAGATGAAAACCCACATTTAAATTGTTTTTACTTATCTTGTTATAAAATCATAATCAATGCCTATCTATTAGCATGGGAGGGGAGGGATAGCTCAGTGGTTTGAGCGTTGGCCTGCTAAACCCAGGGTTGTGAGTTCAATCCTTGAGGGAGCCACTTAGGGATCTGGGGCAAAAATCAGTACTTGGTCCTGCTAGTGAAGGCAGTGGGCTGGACTCGATGACCTTTCAGGGTCCATTCCAGCTCTATGAGATAGGTATATCTCCATTTATTATTATAAAAAAGTCAAACTTTGTGGAAATGTAAAAAAAATTCCATTATTTGACAGTGAAAAGATTGAAAATATTTATTATATTGTATTAATAGCATGCCCTTAATATTGGAACAATGAAGATTCAAGTATCTCATTTTCAGCTGCTCTCCAGTGGCTTTCAAAAATACAACATTCACAATCTGTAGTTGTCTGCATTTTTTCCCTGCAATTCTGAGTAAACTTAACAAGTCACCGGGACCAGATGGCATTCACTCAAGAGTTCTGAAAGAACTCAAATGTGAAATTGCGGAACTACTAACTTTGGTTTGTAACCTGTCCTTTAAATTGGCTTCTGTACCCAATGACTGGAAGATAGCTAATGTAACGCCAATATTTAAAAAAGGGTCTAGAGGTGATCCCGGCAATTACAGACCAGTAAGTCTAACGTCAGTACTGGGCAAATTAGTTGAAACAATAGTAAAGAATAAAATTGTCAGACAGATAGAAGAACATGAATTGTTGGGCAAAAGTCAACATGGTTTCTGTAAAGGGAAATCGTGTCTTACTAATCTATTAAGAGTTCTTTGAAGGGGTCAACAAACATGTGGACAAGGGGGATCAAGTGGACATAGCGTACTTAGATTTCCAGAAAGCCTTTGACAAGGTCCCTCGCCAAAGGTTCTTACGTAAATTAAGTTGTCATGGGATAAGAGGGAAGATTCTTTCATGGATTGAGAACTGGTTATAAGACAGTGAATAAAGGGTAGGAATAAATGGTAAATTTTCAGAATGGAGAGGAGTAACTAGTGGTGTTCCCAAGGGTCAGTCCTAGAACCAATCCTATTCAACTTATTCATAAATGATCTGGAGAAAGGGGTAAATAGTGAGGTGGCAAAGTTTGCAGATGATATTAAACTGCTCAAGATAGTTAAGACCAAAGCAGACTGTGAAGAACTTCAAAAAGATCTCACAAAACTAAGTGATTGGGCAACAAAATGGCAAATGAAATTTAATGTGGATAAATGTAAAGTAATGCACATTGGGAAAAATAATCCCAACTATACATACAATATGATAGGGGCTAATTTAGTTGCAACTAATCAGGAAAAAGATCTTGGAGTCATCATGGATAGTTCTCTGAAGATGTCCACGCAATGTGCAGTGGCAGTCAAAAAAGCAAACAGGATGTTAGGAATCATTAAAAAGGGGATAGAGAATAACTTATTGCCCTTATATAAATCCATGGTACGCCCACATCTTGAATACTGCATACAGATGTGGTCTCCTCATTCAAAAAAGATATACTGGCATTAGAAAAGGTTCAGAGAAGGGCAACTAAAATGATTAGGGGTTTGGAATGGGTCCCATATGAGGAGAGGTTAAAGAGGCTAGGACTTTTCAGCTTGGAAAAGAGGAGACTAAGGGGGGATATGATAGAAGTATATAAAATCATAAGTGGTGTGGAGAAAGTGAATAAGGAAAAGTTATTTACTTGTTCCCATAATATAAGAAATAGGGGCCACCAAATGAAATCAATGGGCAACAGGTTTAAAACAAATAAAAGGAAGTTCTTCTTCACACAGCACACAGTCAACTTGTGGAACTCCTTACCTGAGGAGGTTGTGAAGGCTAGGACTATAACAGGGTTTAAAAGAAAACTGGATAAATTCATGGAGGTTAAGTCCATTAATGGCTATTAGCCAGGATGAGTAAGAAATGGTGTCCCTAGCCTCTGTTTGTCAGAGGGTGATGATGGACGGCAGGAGAGAGATCACTTGATCATTACCTGTTAGGTTCACTCCCTCTGGGGCACCTGGCATTGGCCACTGTCGGTAGACAGGATACTGGGCTGGATGGAACTTTGGTCTGACCCAGTATGGCCATTCTTATGTTCTTAAAAGGCTACAGAATTCATCCACTCTCTCTCTAACAAAAGTGTTATTTGGGACAGTCTAGTCTTCCCTCTGATTAAAAACATTTTTTTTTGTATGCACTACCTGGAACACATTTTCAGAAGGTCCTCACTCTAGCCTCTAAGGCTCCTATAATTGGATTCATACATGGAGCCAAATGAAGTTCTTCATGGGCACAGGCATCCACTAGCACAAATCCAAATGCAGGATTAGGGCTTAATTTGTGCGCACAAATGTAACTGAACATGTGAATCAACTATCTGTACATATGACTGGCATGTGTAAATCCAGGACTTTACAGCACACATGGTGCTGTAAACTTAGAAGGCTGGTTTTGAAAATATGACTAAGTTTTATGGCAAGAAATCCATATGTCTAGTCAGTTACACGTTTGGTTTAGGTTTTCAAGTGGGAGAACAAAAATCCATGAATCTACTGAAACCCTCCATATCAGAACATCACTGAAAAAGGAAAAACAAAATTAGGGTTTTTTTCTTTTTAAAATACCGTAGAATAAAGCAATGGTTTCCCACAGCTGCCTCTCTAGCCAATGCCACCAGTAGATTCTAATACTTTTCTCCCAAATGATTTTTTTAGTGTAATAAAACACTATTTTAACTGGCTTTGAGTCCTTAATGAAGTCTAGGAGAAGCTGTCATCTTCACTTGTATTAAACTTGTTGGGGAAATTTTTCTTTCACTCTTCTGGCATTGTAACTTTTTATGGATGCTGTCTGACTATTAAGACGTATGTCTGCAGTGCGATTGTACTCATGTTGGTCCCAGGGTAGTAGAAACACAAGGTGGGTGAGGTAATCCTTATAGGACCAAGTTCTATGGGTGAAAGAGACAAGCTGTGGCGCTTAGCCTGAGCTCTTGTTCAGGTTTGTGAAGCTTGTCTCTTTCACCAACAGAAGTTGGTCCAGTAAAAGATATTGCCTCACCCACCTTGCTTCTATTAAAGATGTATAGCTTATTAAATTCTCTGAAAACTGACAAAGTGACTTAAGCAGAAAGCCAGTCTCATTTTAAAGTTAGCTTTGAAAAAATACTTAAAAATTCATTATGGTTTTAAAAAAAAAAACAAAAAAAACAAAAATCCTGAAATTATTTTACTCAATTCTACACAGTTTTGTATTCTAACATTGATTTACCATAAATTCATTGCAAAAGTCATATTCAATATTGTTATGGTTTATGTCTGGAATGAAGTTCTTATAACTCTTGAGAAGACTGCGACTTCTATGGCACAAACTTCTTTTGCTAGCAAGATTAACTGATAAGGTATAATAGTAATAATAATAAAAGCTCATTAAATAAGTATTTTCTTATGCTAATAGGCAAAGGACTCTACAATTGCACTCTTGTTGACTTTATAGAATTATCCATCCTCTAGTGCATGTTCTAAACCAGGAGTAATCAATAGGCGGACCATGGGCCAAATCTGGACCACCAAACGCTTTTGAACAGACACCAAAATATTTTTATTGTCTTATTATCATTATTGGGGGGGCTTTTATTATTATTTCCTCTGGAGTCTGGACCTTGACTATATCTTGATTAGGAAATGTGGAGCTTGACAAAAAAATAATTGACTATCTCTGTTCTAACCTATAATATTAAAACTATACAGACGTGTTGGATCCAAATAATTCCCAGCATGCTTTCTGAAGGAGTTTTAAAGAAAAAGGTTGTTCTAGGAAGTCACTGATTTTCAGACTGACTGTATAACAAAACTCAGCTAATTTATATTTCTTTTGTAAAATTAGTAGGGGGGATCGCCTCTGTAGAGAAATGGAATCTCAGAAGGTGGGGTTGAAAATAAACAGGACAGTTCTTTAATGTTAGAGAGATAAAATAAACAAAATTTAGGGATTTTTGTTTAGGGTTTTTAAGGAAACAGAATTAGGCTACTGCATAAAGAAAAAATACTAATACAGGCAAATGCTTTAGGTAAAATAGCATAAAGGTGACCCACACCTGTCTTTCTTTCAATTAAAAAAAATACAAGTTTAACACACTGTACTTTATACAAATAGTTTTATACATTAAAACTTGAAAATAATTATCTCATGTTATGCTGCACGGAATTATTTTCATAATTAGGTGAATATACCCCATAGGCATTATATAAAAAAATGTAACATTGCATACGCTATTTTAGTACATCATACAAAAGGAAACCTGCTTGGATACTACACATTAATCAAAGCACAACAAGATGTTAGACAAGCCCAGGGAGCTCCTTGCAATGAAGGGAGCTCACCTCTTCTTCCCTTCCAGATGATTTCAGAGCTGAATCAGCTAGTGTCTGGACAAGTATTCTGTTAATTTTATAAAGGAAAATGCCTCTTAGCTGGCAGAGCCAAAGGGTTAAATGACTCTGGGATCAAACGCTGCAGCATTTCTGGTCCCTGTCCCTGGCGATAGAGTCCCCAATAAATCTGACCTAGTTCCTACTGCAGCAGGCGGCTCACTGGCATGCCGGGGCTGCTGCGAGCTGCTCGCCGGCGGCCGGGCCGGGGTGGCCGGACACTCACCGGGTGGAGGTGCCCTTCCTCACATCGCACATCATGCACTTGAAGGCCTCGGCGCTGTTCCGGAAGGTGCACACGCTGCAGTCCCAGTAGCCCTCGTCCGAGGAGGGTTTCGGCTGCCGCTTCGGCCTGCAACACACACAACGAGGGGAGGGACAAAACAGGCAGGGCGGTGGGTCAGGCCCGGCTCTCAGCCCGGCCCGACCGCCCCCGCTGCAGCCCGGCTCCCGCGGCCGCCATGGCCGCTGCACGGCGGAGCTGGCTCTTCGCCGCCGCTGCTCCCGGCGCAGGGTCGGGCCCGGCCAGGAGGCGCCGCTAATCCAGGGCGCGGGCGCTGCCAGCGCCAGGCCCCCGCGCCGCCCTTACCTGGTCGGGCTCTTCTTGTCTCCCATGCCGGCTGCAGACGCGACCCCGGCCCGGCCCTTTGTGTGTTTGTAAATAAGGAGGAGCGCGGGGGGCCCTGGCTCGAGCGGGGAGGAGGAGCCGCCGCCGCAACCTCCAGCTGTCGGGGAAACTCCGGCTCCCGCTGCCGCCCGCCGCCCCCTCCTCCCTCACGTGTCCCCCCGCCGCCAACCAGCGGCCGCCCGCAGCCCTCCGAGCCCCAGGCAGCGCGAGGCGGCAGGTTCGCATCTGCTGGCGGCGGCGGGCGGCCGGAGGGGCGCGGGGACGCGGCTGCGGTGAGCAGGCGGCAGCCAGGGGAGGCGGACGGAGAGCTGAGGCGACTAGGGCAGCCCGGGTCCCTCACCCCACACAGCGCTGGCTGTCGGGGTCGCCCTTTCACGGCCAGCGCCCGGGAGGCAGGTGGCAGGGAGATGGAAACTCGTGCGTGTGCTGGGCCAGCAACCCCCCCCACCCCCCATGTGTGGGTTGGGGGTCCCCGCCGCGCGGGGATTGACGGGGTTGGGGTCCCCCGGGCCATTGTGTTGTCTCCTGCGCCTGTAACAGCTTGCCTAACAGCACATGGCAAGCAAGCTGCCAGGCGGGCTGAGAGACAGATCCCCTCTCCAGCGATGACATATGTATTTCATATAGGCCATGCGTGTTTTGATGTATTACAGATGCAGAGTGCATGGGCTGAAATACATGACAGAACCATTTTCCTATTACATGTAAATCAATGTCATCTCACCTAGGACAATATGTAAATTACACACAATGCAATATTGCACCCAATCCTCAAAGCCAGGACTGATCCAGAAAACCTCTACCTTTCATCTCTTCCTGTGAGCCAGAGACCTGGCCTCATTTATCAACTCCAGACTGTATAATCATAATTCCCTAAATATAAATATGAACAATACTAAGATTGCAGGTAGTACAGACTAAGACAGCCCACTTTCTCCACAGGTTAGGCCACATCAACACTGGCTCTTGGTCCATTTTCACTGCCAGTTCAAGGCCTTGGGCATGTTCTTCAGAGCCATTAATGGATCTGGTCCTAATAGGGTTGCCAACCCTCCAGGACTGTTCTGGAGTCTCCAGGACTTAAAGATCAATTTTTAATTAAAGATTATGTCATGTGATGAAACCTCCAGGAATATGTCCAACCAAACCCTAGGCAACCCTAGGTCCTAAGTACATGAGAGGCTACATTTCCATCTATGAACTACCAATATAGCTGCATTCTACTGGAACAATGCTGATCAAAGCTCAGGACAAAACACTATGAGAGCCAGAGTTAAGGCGTTATCCGTTAAGGAGATCTGGCTGTGGAACAAAATTCCAGAAGAGAGTAATCTAAACTAGAATCTGACCACTTTAGATCATGCTGTAAGACCTCCCCTCTTTGATAAAACTTTCATATTATCACAGAGTAACATTTACCACAATAATTAGACCCCCTTGCCCAAGAAAAAAAATGTATCCCAGGCACTGCTGCCTATAACCAGGGTCAGAAGAAGAGCAGAAGACTCCATGAAGTTCAATTAGGTACCTTGCTATGCCAGACACTGGTACTAGTGTGACAGATGCAGGTACAAACTCATAAGATAATAGATCTTATCCAGCATTAGATACAAGGATACAAATAATATTAATATTTGTACTTATAGATTCTTAAGTACAAATAAATTGTGATTAACATGGTATGCTCTAACATCATTAAACAAAACACTAAGAATGTTCTTCCTTGGCCTGAAAGTTGCCAAAAAGATTTAGCTAGGAATAGTGGGGTGTAATAAAGAAAAGGAAAATGTAGGCTGAAAATCTAGAAGAACCTACTAATAGTGAGCTATATTATACTAAAAGATTGTCTCCCCATTTCTTGGGGCATTCAGCATTTACCTAAAAGCACCACAGCCCCTCTTTCTGGACCTTGCCATCTATGGCTGTAACAGACTACTTGTTAAAATATGAAGAATGAATATTGTTTTCTGTCTGGTGATCACTGCCCTCCATGCTCCTTACCAGGTTTCCCTCTCCCCATCCTCACTTCTTCCTCTCCCTCAATGTCTACTTCTTCCTTTTCCCTGCCGCTCCCAGAGCCTGGTCTGCAATAGGGATGGAACCCAGAGATGCACTGCTAAGCTGGACACTTGGAATACTGTGAAGAAATCTTTAGATTGGAAATGATGGTAGAACCTGTCTCCTGGTGCCCTTTTATTTATAACAGTCTCTACTGTATACGTAACTTTTTTCCCCTTTGAGAAAGCAATTATTTTGAAATAACCCCTTTTTCTTGACCTTTTCTCTGACATTATGAATTTTCCCATAGAAATGAAAAGAAACAAAATAAAACTCAGACCACTGCCTATGAAACACTAGGATAAGCTGCTTTTTACTATGTTGCAACCTAAGAGTAGCAGCTTTTCTCTTTCCTCTAAGGGAAAATTTCCTGGGGAGTATCATTTCTGATCAGCAGGGAGAGCAACCACTGCTAATCCCCAACTATCATTCCTAACTGCCCACTAATCTTTCAGATTCCACCATTCTGACCCTGCTCGAGATGCGTGAAATTTACCCACATGCAGAGGGCTAACACAAGATCTGTTCACCACTCAAGTCCCATTCAAGCCTTATTTTAAGCAGTTAAGTGAATTTCATCCTATTTGAATAACATTACAGAGAGAAGAAATACTATTTTCTGCATACCTTGGTACACTTATAGAGGCACAGGAAATCACCAATGACATGCGCCTACCTTTGATGTAACCACATCTAAAATATTGTTGGTCTGTGACACAGGACAGAGTGACTTTTGAAAGATGGATTCGTGCTCCAGGCAGTAGCGCTCAGCAGCATTCTTCAACCTAGGAGGCAGGAAGAAGGAGAAACTTGCTCAGAGAGAGCAAGCTTCAGGTAAATCCTGAATTTGGGACAGTAATAGGTGTGATGGGTTGGATTACAGAAACCCCCTTGGGGCTGCCACCTGATGTGCTGAGACTACCCCTGAGCCCGCCTTTTTTGCCAGGTTGGGGGTTTAGTGCCTTGCCTGCTTTGAGCCAGACCCTCTAGCCTGCTACAAACCCAAACCCAAGTTTGAACCACGTTTCCTAAAAGCTACAGGCTTAACTGAAAACGGCTTAAGAAGTGTTTTTGTTTTTAACACTCAGATGCCCAGCTTCTAATGGGGTCCAAACCACAAATAAATCCATTGTATCCTGTATAAAGAGTTTGCCCTCTAGAATACAGAGAGATATGCACAGCTGTTTGCCCCCCCCCGTATTAATACATACTCTGGGTTAATAGATAAGTAAACAGTGATTTTATTAAATACAAAAAGTAGGATTTAAGTGGCTCCAAGTGATAACAGACAGAACAAAGTGAACTACCAAGCAAAATAAAATAAAACATGCAAGTCTATGCCTAATACAGTAAGAAGCTGAATACAGATAAAATCTCACCCTCAGAGATGTTCCAATAAGCCTCTTTTCACAGACTAGCCTTCTTCTAGTCTGGGTCCAGCAATCACTCACACCCCCTGTAGTTACTGTCCTTTGGGGGTGGATAGGCTCTCTCTTGAGCCAGCTGAAGACAAAATGGAGGGGTTTAAATAGACTTTCTCTTGTGGGTGGACACCTCTCCCTCCCCCTGTGTAGAATCCCAGCTACAAGATGGAGTTTTGGCATCACATGGGCAAGTCACATGTCCGTGCATGACTCAGAATTTACAGGTAGCAGCCATGGCTCACATGCTACCTTGAACGTCCTCAAGTAGACTTCTTATGTGGATTGGAGCCTTCCAAGATCCATTGTCCATAAGGTGTTTCTTGATTGGGCACTTAACTTGCAAATGCCTTTCTAAAGAAACTGCCCAAATGCCTTACTAAGGCTACTAAAAATCAAACCAATACACAGCCAATATTCATAACTTTGAATACAAAAATGATATATGCATACAAATAGGATGAATAGATTCAGTAGACCATAACCTTTACAGAGATATGTTACATGGCATATGTAGCATAAAACATATTCCAGTTATGTCATCTATACATTCATAAGCATATTTCTATAAAGCCTTATGGGGTGCAACGTCACACCTTTCTCCTGAACTTACTGCCAGAGACTTGAACACTGTCCACGGCAGAGGCAGTACATGTAAAATCCCTGTTTGGCTTTGGTCACACTCCATATGGTTTAAAGGTACGGAAAGGATGTCATTCATAAGCGTACCAACAAGTTTTGGGGTTTCAGGCACCTGGGGACCAGGAAACAGGTTGGGGTGTAATATTGCTAAACAGAATGCAGACAGCAATGTTTGTTAAAGTGTAGGCCTACTGGCATGTAGCCACCAGTGCCATGAGGCAGTGTGCCTCAGTTTTCCCTTCTACACAGCAGCATATGCCTGTTATGCTTTTGCTGCTGTGCCAAGCTTCCAGCGTGTTTACAGGTATAAGCTGAAAGGTAACATGCTTGTGGGACTGTCTTGTCACCATCCCTAGCATGTACAACAGTTTTTTTCCCCCACAAATCAGGTATGTTCCACATCTTTAAAGGGTTTACCACTAGTATTAACTCCTTTGTCTTGACCCATAGATTAAGTAGCAAAAGACACAAGATTAACAACAAATCTACAGCAGACAGGTTCTGTTCACACATTTTGGCTTGGTTAGTGTCTATTACCTTTTTCACTTCCTTTGTGTACCATGATAGGTGCCCTGATGCAGATTCTTCTGCCTCTTTGGAGAAGGCTTTTAATTCAGGCATGTGTTTAAGGCTTTGGCAAGGAAAGGGTGTACTACAACCATGCCTGCCCTCGGCCCCCCCTCTGGAATTTCTCTGGGCTGGACCTCACACACTTGTGAAGTTTCCCTAAGGCAAAGGTTTTCTTCCTCCTGCCTTGAAGAGACAGTTTTTATCTCTTACAAGCTTAGCAGGAACATCTTTCAATGGAGTGCTTTGGATTGGTAAGACCCCTTTGGACACCCCACTTTCTGTTCCCAAAAGGTTAGCTGTGGGGGCTCTCCCCTCCAGGAGATCTGACCCCCAGTTTTCCCTTAAACCCTGATCCACAGGAGATTTTTCACCCTCCTCCTGGGAAAGATCCTCCCTACAAAAGGTGGGCAGACTCTCCAGCCCC